CAGGCCACGGCAAAGACACGCCAGGTGTGTTGTGGGGGGGGGGGGGGGGGGAGGAAAAGACAAAACAATGACACATTCATGCAGCATCAGGACGAGACACAAATTTCTTTAATGGATTAGAATTACATAAACTAATACACCTGCAAAAATAATCAAGGTGTTTTATGGTCAGTTAAAAGTAAACAGGATGCACGTACATCTACTATTACTCAATGTGTTGGCTGGAACAGGCAGTAAAGTGGTCACCCGGATTCACCCAGCAAGAAGCATTACAGTGTATTAAATACATGGAGGCAGATTACTGTGCTACCTGCTAACAGTCATCTGCACTAAGCATACATAAAAAATGCTCACAACCAAAGATGTAAGTAATCCAGTTTAAAGAAAAAAGACAACCCCCGCCCCTGGCCTCCCACCCACACTTTTAAGGAAGGAAATTCATGTTTAACAGCTTTAGAAGCATTCATATTTTAAGTCAGGAATTGGCAACCTATTGCCTGCAAGGCCATATCCAGCCCACAGAACTATTAGATCCAGCCTGAGGAGCCCGGTGGGGGCTTCAGCAGCATTCCAGCAAGAGAGTGTCAACCACGCTGCAGCCAGGTGGCAGGGAGTTTGCCCACACTGCAGCTGGGCAGTGCTGGCCCACACTTCAGACCTGAGGTGTATCATTCCAGATCGCTGCTAGAGAAAGCTGCCAACTGCTAGTCTAAGTTTGTTGTACTTCAACTCACTGGATAAATGCATGACAGGAGTGCTGGGCCAAGACAGGTTGCCACAATATATTGTAAAATACCACACACACAAAAGCAGCAGCAAACATGAAATGGATTGAGGACAACATACATGCAACAACTTGACAACCAGGCAGAGTAAACCCAGACCTCTTCTTCACTGTTCAAAGTAAAGGGTATCAACAATTTCACTAGGAACCAGCAGAAAATACCAAGTTTTTGGATTCCCCAACAGCCGCAAGATAGAAAGAAAACAAAAGGACTGAAACTAGGAAATTCAAACTTATGTGCTTGGGAACAGAACCCAGCAACCTTAGATGAGAAACTGAAATCACTTTCATAAGCTAAAAGAAAAAAGTGACCCACTTCAGATTGTATTTCCTTTAAACCATAACACCTAGGTCATGAGCCTCCTCAAGTGTACTGGGATAAACAGCACTTCAGGAATTTGTCACCTGCAGAAGACAAAACTATTTTCCAATTGTCTCCTAGACTTAAAAGGAAATGCAGTTGCTGGAGATGGAATAGGTGTCAACCCCAAGGGTCTCCAGACACACAGTAGGTAGACAGATAGTGGAATACACAGGCTGGGACAAGCACTAAAGAGGAACATTCAACAGCAACAACATTAGTAGTAGTAGTAGTAGTAGTAGTAGTAGTAGTAAGTGACGCACCTGATTTCGAAGAGCCTGCTGCTGCGATGGTCGATCCCTATGTACATGGCTGTCTCGGGTTATTGCAGATGCCCCAGAATCTACATGAACAGACCCCACTGGAGTAGGCTGGAAAATAAAGCACCCATTGTACACTGAAACCAATGCTGTGGTTAGATTCCTCTCCCTCCACAGGCCTGCATAATCTTTACCACAATATTAGCTCACATGCCGTGTAAAACCAGGAAAATTGAGGTAAAAAAAATATGGCATTTAACAACAAGGGAGATGCTGTGAAACTTCTAGGGGACTCAAGGGCTTGCTGGACACTAGACCTGTTAACATCTCATGCAAGACTGGAAACTGTTATGCACATTAACCCTCACAGAAAGGTTACATTTGACCTAAATATGATAAACAGACTTGCATACAAGGATAGAATTGTATGGGGTTTTCTCCAGATCTCACAGTCTTCCTATTTTTAAAATTACATTAGCATAGAAACAGGATGTGTTAATTAAGGTTTCATCTGCTCTGTTCCCACCTAAAATCATAATCCTTGCTTGTAACATCATAATTTCCATAGCAACCACTGGTGTGTTGATAAGGAGTATGTGATAGAAAGTTTGCCTTGAAACAGGCTTTCTTCCAGTTGCTTTTGTAATTAAAAGGTAAATGAGGGGGAAAAGTGATTTATAAGGGAAAAAAAATCCTTTCGAAAGGAAGCTACTGGTTGGTGCTAAGTAGACATTAAAAACATGTCACATTAGCAAGAAAATAACTGGAGCAGAATGATACCACAAAGTAAGGGACGGGCTACTTGCCTTGGACACACAATGCCCTTTGCTTGAACAAATACTAGAGTGACTTCTATGTAGATGCGCTTCTCAGATTTCCTGACAGGGCACAGGAGGTCTCTTGGTAACACTTCTTCGCACCAAAATTTAAAAGCAATGCATCAGGAACAGAGGTCACAAAGTTCAGTTAGATATTGCCTGGCCACTCACTAGGTTTCAGCTGCTAAGTGATGATTTTGAACAAGGGAGCACTGATAGCATCAATGCAAGAGAGATCAGAAATGCAGGATTTAACGGATCCAAGCCATGAGTAGTCTGCATTTCTCTCTTT